AACATCTGAATGGTTTAGTGAGGTATAGGATGCAAAATGGTTAAGAGCCAATTGTCACCATTAAGAGGTTCTATTTTTTTTGCCAAACAGCCTCCACCTCTTACCGATTAAGAGGCTGCCTCTTAATGTCACCATTAAGAGGCAAACAAACAGCCCCTCAGTCATGGTGATTCAAAGCAAGTATGCTGAGGTAACTGAATGTAGATTAAGATGTATATTGGTGGATGAATGTTAATGAAGAGCATCTTCCGTTTCAAAAAGCAGAAAGGTTGTTTCCAAGAAAACGTCAGTTTGTATAAGAACAATAATAAGAGATTTACTATAACCCGAAACCACATTAAGAACCCATTTACCTAAATGCTTACCCGGTAAGCGCTAAACGTTAGGAGTCAACACTATAATTTATTTTACCGGGTAAGATTGTAGTACATCAAAATTGTATTGTATGCAACAATTTACCCGGTAAGCGCTTGTCGGGTAAGAGTCGTCACCCTCATCTACCGAGTAATCTTTATCATTGTTGTTACTGGGTAAGATTTTTGACCCTTGTCATGTTCATCCGGTAAGAAAAATTATCCAGTAAGCACTTACTGGGTAAGCGTTTAAGTGAACGGCCCCTTAGAGACATAATTATAAAATACTTAAAATAGCCTAGCTAGTAAAAAATACACTAAAACAATCTTAAGTGTCGTTTACCAAAACGCTTACCTACAAAAGTCATCGGTTATCACCCTCACCTCGAGTAACATTCTCGACCATCAAATAAGATTGTCGGTAAGTGTATCTTGTAACTGAACGAGAGTCTTCTCCGTCACTTACTAGATAAGATTCTTGATCTTAATGTTTCTTATCATGTAAAATTCTCGATCATTACCATGTTCATTCAGTAAAATCAGTGACACCGTTTGCTAAATGACCTCTTAATGAAACCCTATATATGTATCTAAATAATCATTACCATGTTCATCCAGTAAAATAAATGACAGCATTTGCTAAACGACCTCTTAATGAAACCTTACATATGTATCTAAGTAGTCATATACGACCCTTACAGGCAAAAAAACCGAGTCCACTAACCCACTAACCACGTAGTACCCATTCATGGCTGGCCCATTTCATAAAAAAATTAGGATACGTCAGATACTTCAGGACACTGATTCATCATTCACACAATAGTCGAGAGGGCGTTTTCAGATATGAATTGTGAAGAATAGGTTGTGCAATAAAGCAGAGATCAGTGGATGAACGATAACTTGGTTGCCTGTAATGAAAACGATGTGTTTGCCGACGTTGACAATGAAATTATTATCGACATGTTTCAGAAAATGAAAAATCATCGAGGACATGTTTACTGTCTTTGATATATTTATTTTGTTTGTTAAATTGAAGATGATCACCCCGAACCACAAGGGCCAAAAATTATGATACATTATGGGAAAATCAAATTTTCATCGAAGAGAAGCAAAGGTGCCTGATTGGTTTGAGCTTGACTCCAAATGTCAAAAGTACCAGGAGATCCCAGGTTCAAATCCAATGAAGAATAAAAATCCTCTTGTGGCCACGGAGGTTCAAATGCGGTAACTCCGGGCTATCTGCAAAGTAGGTGGTCGTCCTGAGATTAATCGACTCACATAATGAGTTGGATATCCAGTTTAATAAAAAAAAGATGATCACCCCGAATGATATTTCTGGCTCCGCCCACGTTCTTATTTATAAAGGGGAAAAAGTATTGGGGGCATATAAAGCAAAATTCCAACAGTTAAGTGTCAAGAATAAAAATATTGTAACTTATAAGGGGGTGATATGTAAATACGTTATCCTTCGTTTATTTTGATCCTTTCCATCTCGTTCTGGTTCTTAGATTAGGGTTACGTTTCGTTCCCAAATTTCAATCTCTTTCCAAAACTCGATCTTTCTCTCTCTAGGGTTACGTTATATAACCAGCAACAACGCCAGGCATGGACCCTCAGTATCAGCAACAACAGTGGATGATGATGAATCAACAACAACAGCAATCACAACCACCGCAACAGTTTCAGCAACAACCACCGTTACAGCAAATGTATAATTACAACCAGCAATCACCAGCGGCTGCGACGATTCCACCTCAGTACACGGCACCGGCTGCAGCACCGATTGGTGGTGCGACTCCTCAACCAGCTAGCGCCGATGAGATCCGTACGCTATGGATCGGCGATCTGCAGTATTGGATGGATGAACAGTATCTTCTTAGCTGTTTTGCTCAGACTGGCGAGGTTTATCCTATTTCTTTGTTCCTGTTTTTGTATAATTACTTATGTATTATCATGTTATTTAGTAACACTTTATTTTATTTAGATTTTAGATCGCAAAGGTTCCATCTTTTTATTAGGTGAAGATATTGAGAGATTCCTTAAACGCATTCTATAGGCAATTATGAATTCATCGATAACTTTACATTTTGAAGGATACCCTGACTATGGAATTATAAGAAGTGCAGTTGTTTGTGATAGAATTGGGTTTTTAATTGTTGGAGTATGTATGATATACTATTTATATCATGTCATTTTTATCGACCTAAGTTGCGGATATGGCTGATGGGCTTCTTTATAATCACCAATTCTGAAAAAATTGTTTTTTAATTGTTAAATTAGACCTAGTACTTTTTGGATACAACATTGTTAGGGTCAATTGTATTGCAAATTTGATACCTTGTATACTTGTTAAGGTTTAATATGGTTGTGAAACTTTACTTGAGAAGATTCACAATTGTATTCTTGACCAATTGTGGGCTATGTATGCATGATGAAAGTGCTGTTGGTGTATAGAAAAGTAGAAAGCTTGCTTAATGTTGCAGCTGAAAATGTAGCTGAAATGTGTTATTCCCTTTCGAGCGATTAGCATGCTGATTGCTGACGAGTTTTGTTTTATATACGTGAAATGGGAGTGCATTGTTACTTGTTCCTATATGGCTATTTAATTATCCCTTGTGCTTGCAGGTGGTTTCTGCAAAAGTCATACGTAACAAGCAATCTGGTCAATCTGAGGGTTATGGTTTCATTGAGTTTGCTAACCGTGCTGCTGCAGAAAGGCATCTACAGGCATATAATGGTACTTTGATGCCCAATGTTGAGCAGCTCTTCAGGCTGAATTGGGCTACTTTTGGCGCTGGTGAAAAAAGACAAGACGATACGCCTGATTACACTGTATTTGTAGGGGATTTGGCAGCAGATGTAACAGATTATACCTTGCAGGAAACCTTTAGGGCTCATTATCCTTCTGTCAAGGGTGCAAAGGTAGTAACTGATAGGCTCACAGGACGCACAAAAGGTTATGGTTTTGTTAAATTTGGTGATGAGAGTGAACAAGTACGTGCCATGACTGAAATGAATGGAAGATTATGCTCAACCAGACCAATGCGAATTGGACCAGCTGCTAACAAAAAGAATGTGGGCGGTCAACAATATCCAAAAGGTACATGCTGTTTGTCTTACCAGCCTCTCACGATGTGGTTCATCTTATTTTATTTGCTTGGATTATAAATCATACTTCATTTGTTTAGCATCTTGTCGACTGATTCTTGTATTTGTTTATTTGATTGGTCTCTTGGACTCATTGTTATTAGATTGTTTTCTGTGGTTCTCTTACCAAGCTTCTTAAGTTTTATCCATTCAAGATTGTGGTCGATTGTGTAGATAAACGCGAACTTAACGAAGTCATTTCCTTCCCGTGCTTTGAGAATTATGGGCATTAATGCTCTTAAAATATTGAACATGCAAAAACTCATAAAACTCCTATTGTCTCAAAGCAGGGCATCAAGAGGCTCTATCATATAAGGGTCTGGCAATGATTTCGGCAGAAATTGTTACCCTTTAGTGGGTGGCCTTGCTTAGGTCAGTTTTCCATTTTATGCCATTATTGCCCTTGCCATTTATTTAAGTTCCTCAAGGCAAAATTATGTTGCTTTGGTTTCTTTTTCCCAAGTCCTTTTAATATTGAGCTTTCCTTTCAGTCAAGTTACATTATTCTTTGTCATTCTAGTTCTCTTTTGTCGTTATTTCTGGTTTTACAGCCTCCAATCTTGTTCCATTAAAACCCTTTTCTTTTACTTTCTTACCATGATCTGTACCACATTCTTAAGCTTTTATGTTTGCTTTCATTTCTTTAACTAAAGTTTAATGTTACCATTTTTGTTTACATATCTCTTTCAGTTATCTACAAGCTTATCATGATCTTGAGCTTGTCAGTTTTTTACTTTTTCCATGATGTATACTTAAGTTTATTAGTTGGGTATCTTGCATCCATGCGAGATAGGCAGTGCGACATGTACCTTACATGATTTCAACATTAAAGCTACATCACCTTTGGTTTAGGTCGAGCTTAGTTTTAGCTTTATACACAATAAAAATGTGTATCATTGAACAATGGAAACCTCTTTGTAACAAGAACACATAGATGTTTGACATTTGACTGCCTGAAAGAAGTGTGCAAGGATCAAGACACCATGAGATCTTTTGATGGCAGTAGTATTAAATTCTAACTTTTTCATGTCTGAAGAACATCTTCCATTGTCTAGGTCATGACAAGGTTTTGAAATTTTTCAGTACACTCCAAACACCAGGAAGTTGGAGTTACTATGCAAATACCTTTTCTTTGGTAAAAGGAAATAGCTTATGCATATGGGTACTTGTTTCTTGGTAATATATCTTATAAGAAGTGAGTTGGCACAAGTAATCTTTGTTTCTAAAGGTGTGCAAGTTGACATTGACCTTCAGTTGAATTCTTGGTAATGGTGCACGATGCAATGGGATTATTCGTTCTGCCCGCCGTTTAGTGGATATATGTGTACTGCAATATGCCATCTTGAAAAAGCAAGAAATGAACAAATAATACATGTGCACATCTCGTTGTTTTAATTGATTAAAACGTATGATATTGTGGGTTTTGTTTTGTTGATACATGTCTAATGCAATAGCAACAACTTCTTCTATTCATGTTTATATTCTATAAAGTTCATTCCCAGAATGTGTAATTATTTGTGTGGGATGATGAGCTTCCATTTCACTATTTTGATGTCAGTGTTTGTGGCTATGTATCTGTATACTCGTATAACACACTTCCCTGATCTCATACAAAACCTCTTGGTACATCAATCCCCTCCTGGATTCCTGTCCGCAACTGCTGGCCTCTGGGGTTATGGAATATGAAACTGGAGGCAACAACACTTGCTTGTCCTTCAAATATATATATATATATTTATATTTTCTTTATTTGCAGCTTCATACCAGAATACTCAAGGAACACAGAATGACGACGATCCAAATAATACAACTGTCAGTAATTTGTTTCATTATCAGAGCACATGTTACCTTCTAAAACAAAAATGTTGAATGTTCAAAAACTTCATTGCAGATTTTTGTTGGTGGCTTGGATCCTAATGTCACCGATGAACATCTTAGGCAGGTGTTTAGCCAATATGGACAATTAGTCCATGTGAAGATCCCCCTTGGCAAGCGGTGTGGGTTTGTTCAGTTTGCTGAGAGGTATGCGAGTCATGTAAGAGGTTATAGATTTTGGAGTTTTTTACCAATTTTTTGCTCTAATAGATCTTTCAGAATGGAGAAGGTAGGAAAGAGATAATTTAAATCTCCAAATTTGGACAGCTTTTTAAATTTAATTGCTGAAGTGAGATGTTTTTTTTATTATTCCCCCCAATGAAGTTGAGTGTATTATCATTTCATATAAAGTGTTATTTCAGAGGTTTTTGGGATATTAAGTCTATTGAATATTTTAATGATATAATTATTGTTCAAATCTCCAATATAGAGAAACTCTTGGCTTTGAATGTGATTTTTGTTGGAGATATATAACTTTTGATTCTCTATTTTGGAGAAGTTATAGAGAATTTTGGGAGATGCTCTAAGCATCTTTTGATCCATGAAGAAGAATTTATTTTCTTGGATTAAGTTCTATTTTCATGCATGTATATGCAGAAGCTGTGCTGAGGAAGCATTACGAATGCTACAAGGAACTCAGTTTGGTGGACAAACTGTGAGACTTTCATGGGGCCGTAGTCCTTCAAACAAACAGGTTTCTTTGTTTATCATTTTCAACAGCTTTTTTTAAGCCAATTCTGCTTTTAATTACTGGAATCGTAGGTTAAACCTTTAGCAATGCATGCTACCTGTCAAAACTATTAAAATGAAATTATTCTACTATATAATGTATTACCAATAACCACCGCCATTTTTGTATATAAGATCACTTAACTCTATGGCCGCTTCTCTATGGTACCGGTTATTGCTTCATTGAATTTGTTTCACTAATAGGCTCACGATTCGACTTTGATAGTTATGGACTAGTACCAAGATTGAGTCCTGGACAAGCGCACTTTATTTTAATAGCCGGAAGAGTAACAATGAAAATGGTGTTCCACTTATTGAACAGGGTTCTATGGTCGTTCCGTGGCCCCTTTTCAATTGCAAGTGTTCTTGTGTTATGGAGTGAAATGAGTACAAGATGAAGGACCTGGGTCCGCTCTATGTCAATTATTCATGCTAAATGCTTGTTGGAAGGCTCCAGGGGTATTTGATTCAACTTAATAAACTTAACGGGTTTTTAGCTTAATTGAGTAAGCTATATTAAAAATATTTGATTTTAAAATACGAAGAGTTGGTTTTAACTTGTTCAACCACCCTACCCTATCTTTATGCACTAAGCTAGGATTTTTTCCCTAAATTACCCTCGTCCAATAATTTTTAATCCCAGTCTTATTAAAAGTTAAATAGTTTATGCATAAATCAAAATTTGTAATCAAGCAATGGTGCTGAATTTTGTAAAGTATATTTTAAGTTATCAAGTATAGTGTGATGAACTCGTTTAATTTATGTTATTTTAAATTATTCATAAATTTTTTATTTTGTCATTCAGAAGATTTATCAAACAATTATTTTTCATTCAGCACTTGTCTTGTTAGAAGGTTAAAAGGGTAATTTTTGTTAGTTTGAACTATTCTATTCAGGACAAAAATCAAACAACAATTTATTTTAATTCATCTAGACAAATTAATGGTTACAGACAACTTAATAGATACAGGGTATAATTTGGATTTGTCACTTATAGGCTTAAATATCTGCCTGTCCATAATTAAACTAGCCGGAACACTCAACCTATGTGTTGGAATTTGTTCAGCCGCAGGTAGATCAAAGCCAATACAATGGTGGATACTATGGATATGGACAGGGATATGAAACTTACGGATATGCCCCCGTTGCTCAAGAGCCTACTATGTACTATGGGGGCTATGCGGGATATGGTGGCTACCCACAGGTCCAGCAGCAGCCACAACCACAGCAGCCACAACAATAGGTGAGAGAAATGCCAAATTGTGTCCCAAAATAAATGCAAAAGAACGTCTTTTTCTAACTGTTTGAAAATAAATGCAACATTTTCTTTTACTCGTTCAGTGATTGTTTTTCTGCATATTGGTAATCATTACAACATACGAATAACACTAATTTTGATGTGTAAGATTCTTGTAAACACCAAACTCGGTAAATCCCACACAGAAGTAGGATCTGGGAAGGGTAGGGTGCATAAGATTCCTCTAACTTGACTAAGGGGCCGTCTACCTAAACGCGTACTGGGTAACCGGTAAGAGTCAACACTATAATTTACTTTATTAGGTAAGATTGTAGTCCATCAAAATGGTATCATATGCAACAATTTACCTGGTAAGCGCTTTCTGGGTAAGAGTGGTCACCCTTACTTCCTGGGTAAGACTATCCAACCTTATCATTGTTCTTACCAAGTAAGATTCCCGGTCATTGCTATGTTCATCCAGTAAGGTAAATGACCCTGTAAGCACTTACCGGGTAAGCATTTAGTAAACGGCCCCTAAAACTTTGCGCAATTCTCTTCTTTCCACCTGTCATTCATGCCAAACGTACCCTAAAGAAACCTTTGAGCTTCAGAACTGCAAATTTCATGGTTTCTTTTACGCATAACTAAAAGTGATGTTTCGGTGTGCAGTGATATGCATGTTTAGAAGTCGAAGCTGAGGCGCATCGTGTCGTGCAAATGAAGAATTCCGAGTTGCGATTTCTACTATATTATAGTTATAGTAAATTACCATCATCATCTACTTTTTATATATAATATTTATTTGAATTTTCAATACTTATGTCTGTCCATCCTGAGGCTGTTTTTCAAGAGTTTTGGCTACAGACAAAGAGGAGATTGATTAAGGTCTCTTCTTTTGCACTTATGGCCTTTTCAGGATTCTAACAGATTTTTTTTAACTGCATCTTTTTACAGTTGACTGTTTCTTTATTACAATTATTATGGTGTCATCTAGAAGTGGGCAAGCACTGGTTACAATTTTTTAAAGCTGGACTGATTAAGCTACCGTTGCAACGAATTGGTTACAACGTCTGAATATATTTTCTTTGGATAGTTTCGCTCTTCTCTCGAGTGTAAATAGGTGTTTGAGGTGGCAGTTTATGACAAAAAGACCATTTTGCAAAAGTGCATACCACTTTACGGTGGTAGTTCTTATAAGAGTCGTACACTTTTTGCTTATAAGAACCAAAACTTGTTACTGTTGGGAACCAGTAAAAATCGGGGTTGGTTAAGACAAGAACACCCTTTTACTTCACTAGTTTAAGGGCGATTACCAAGGAACTATTTACCAAATACTTACCTGGTAAGTGTTTACTAATAAAATTTAATACTATTATTTACTTATTGGGTAAGATTTTAGTTCATCAAAACGACATTACATGTAACAATTTACCCGGTAAGGGCTTACCGTGGTAAGAGTCGTCGCTCTCACTTATCAGGTAAGACTCTTGGTCTTTGTCTCACTTTTATCGGGCAAGATTCCTGGTCCTTATGGTAAGATAATGTGATTTGGTAAGCATTTACCCGAATAACCGTTTGATAAACGGCCCATAAATTTTCGTTCGAACAGATTCTTCAAAACTTGCACGAGAAGTAGTGTGAAACCCTCCAAAACTTCGGGAAGTTTCTAAAAATGATTGCTATAAAAGAAATAGTTTTTTTTATATTATATTACATCAATAAAAAAAATTTGAAATTAAATGTTTATGAAAAAATATTATTTTATTAAATATATAATTAATAATTTTAATTTCTAAAATAAAATAACTGTTTGAGTAAAATGTAATTCTTTTCAAAAATCCTAAATTCGAATCTTTCTTTTTTGAAGTAAATAATATTTATATACGACAAATTCAACAAATAAATGCACACCATCTTCACCTTTGATGATGTTTGAACTTTTGACCTTTTAGGATGCCAAAGACTACCATACTGCTAGACCAAAGACCCTTTGGTCTAAGTTCGGATGGACTTTAAATCCCACACTCTTAACGGTTTTAGAATTTTTTGGAGATGGTTGTCATTTTAAGTACAAATCCCATGAATTCCAGTTATTTCAATCACATCTCTCTACCCCTTCTCTTTCATCAGACTGCTCTAATCTTTCCGTCGTTTCCACATTTTACCGAAAGAAACAAATTATTTACAAAATAAATAAATATTTACAAAAAAATAAATTTCATTATAAATTGTATGAAGCAAACAAGATTTATATAAAAATGGAATTCAATTTCATTCCAAATCATAAAACCAAACACACCAAAGAAACCAAATCTTTCTAATTCCAAATCATTCCAATTACAAATCCTCAAAATACATTCTGCACACCAAACAGACTCTAAAAAAAGCTAAAAAAATCTGGAGGTGGAACGTACGCAAACTTCTACCGTAGTAAGCAACTTAAAGTTTCCAACTCATTTCTAGCTACAACGTTCACACATATAACGTAACGTTCACATAATATAAGAAGAAAAAAAACCAACACAGTATATCTCACTCAAAAGCAGAGTCAAAGACAATAATCAAGAAGGAACGCTATAAAAACAAATAACATGGTCTGAAAATAAGATGTACACAAAATACTGTATATGAAAAATAAAGCCTAAGTTGTATATATCAAGAAAATGTCACAAGATTCTTGATTCAACAAGATACACATAAATAACTTCCCATTACCCAAAAAACCATATTGATGTTTAAAACAACAAAAACTCACCAATAATCCCCACAAGAGCATACCCCATTTTCGAAATGATGAAACCGCTTAGCGTCGCGAGCAACAATCAATCTTCCGACCAATTTCGAAATAATCTTGAGAGCGTTATGGCAATCGCCGCAAACCCGAAGGTTCTTTATGATCCGAATCGGTGAACGGGCCGGACTGGTCATAAGTGCTTGAGATAATGCAAGTCTTTCGCTATGTGATAAAAGAGCTTCCTCCTTGCTTTCTTGATCGATATCATGGAGGACGAATTTAGTCTCGGGAACGTACCCGACCTCTTTCATCGGTTGTTTTAAACACCGAAGCTGACTGTATAACTTTTCGTGCTCCGGGTGTGAAGTATCGCCGGCACGATACTCGTAAACCTTGGTTTTGATCTCGAGGGGATTAAACCGCTTTTTTTCTTTTTCTTTTGCAATATCTGAAGACTTTATTGGTATTAAACCTGCTTTTGATTGTTCGTCTAAACGAGTGGGGTCGAGAAGTTCAACAAGCTCAGCGCAACGGTCTCCGAGTTCGGTATCGCCATGAACCCGAGAATGGTTCATCATAATCTCCCAGATTCCGACACCTGGCTCGATTGGCATTTTATCGATGAATTCTAAGGCTTCGGTTAAATACCCTGCACTTCCGAGCATATCGACTACGCTCGAATAATGGTCCGTGGATGGCTCGATGTTGTAATTCTTGATCATTGACTCGAAGTGTAACATACCCTCTTTCATGTCGCCCACGACACTACAAGCAGTGAAGACGCCGAAGAACATCTGGTTATCGGGTTTGAGTCCGATTTTCTTGAATTCTGTGAACATTTCAATTGCGTCTTCACCATGGCCGTTTTTAGCGAGCCACGTGATCATGGTGTCCCAAGAAGTGAGATTCCGTTGGCCCATTTTGTTAAAGACAGTATAGGCGTCTTCCATGGAACCACATTTCGCGTACATTTCCATGATTTTGTTGCAAATGCGAACGTCAAGATGTGATATGGATCTTGAAAGGTGCTCGTAGACGTATTTCGCTTCTTCAAGCGCCTGAGCCTCTCCACATTCATTCATCAAGAACAGATATCGAGATATATCGACTGAAATGTTACGCTGCTCGAGTAAACCCAAAACCTCCACGGCTTCCTTTAGTTTCTTCTCCTTACAGAAAAAATCGAACTCGTCAATCGTGCCATTTAATCGACCATCCTCACTAGATTCATCCGATTTCTCGTTTTGGATTTGATGATCCATTCTGCTACTATTGTTCCATAAGTTACTAGAGTTCTGTTGATTACTTGAAGCATTCCCAATATAAAATCCGTTGATCCGAACACTTTTCTCATCAAAACGTTGACCAGAACCCTCACTCGCAATCGGCACAAAGTTTCTGGTGTTTTGACTGTTGGTATTATACGGGCTTTGACCAAATACGCCATTTTCACCATTGTTATAGTTACCTTGACTTTCTTGATACATTCCGTTATTCATCCTTGAACTCTGCATATTTCTACTTTCTTCATATAACCGATTCGAACCGTGTTGCAAGATATTATCCTCGTAATTTTTATTGTAATTAACACTGTTTCCATCTGGATTTGACTGAAATTCATTTCTAAGACTACCCGGATTATAGCTCTGCCCGTAAACCAAACTGGGATTCCTTTGGACACCCGTGGAGTTTTCTCTATAAATCCCAGTAAGGTTTTCTTTAAATTTGCGATTACTTTCTCTAAAAGACCAATTGTCACCATATTCACTTGAGCTTTTTGGCGAATACCCATTTGGGTTTTGGAAATCGAAGCTCTCATCGGTGGCCGCAGAATTGAGCGTGCTAAAAGAAAGAATTTTGACGGAATTGAATGAACAACTTCGCGAACCACTGCATACCTTATAGACATAATCGACAAATTTCATGGTTTGGGATGTCTTCAATCTTGCTTGAGACATGATTGTGTTATCGAGCAGCCTACGTACCATGAAGACAAGCATGATCAAGAATGACAGATAAATTGATGAAGTTTTTCAGTCCGGTTTATAGGCTTGAATCTGATTATTTCAGATGGTTACCAACAGATAACAACGGTTCCTAGTTTATAAAATGTTGGGAACTGCAAATTTTTAATACACTTTTTACCAACAGAAAGTCAATATCTGTGATAAGGGAAGAAAGATACCTGATTCACAGCAGCTGCAGAGAACGGCAGCAACGTCACAAACCCCACAATTGCAATACCGTAGTATTTTCTGCAAAAACGGTTAATCAACCGAACGTGAATACAGGTTTGATGGTTCAAGGTCATTCTTACAAAGAAGTTGATTCTTAAGTTCGCTAAACAAAAGAATGGATGGATATAGACACTTTAATTCTCCGTTTTCATTTGTTGGTCCCGTTTCCATGAATGGTAAAATGAGACCAGGTTAAGCAGTTAAAACTCACTCAATAGATTATTAAGAGTGTTTTGGATGACATGTGCACGGTTATTCTATACACAAACATTATGAGTATGATAAAGTGAATATATTATGAAGACAAAGAGAAAGTAAAATGAACTCCTATGTCTCCTCTCTCTCCTACAGAAGTCAACTCAGTAATTCTCGTTCGATTGGTCAACTGCATTCTATTTCTATCCAAAGCAACCTCTAAGAGTATTTGGGAAAAAGACTGATTACCAGCAACCCTGACCAGCCCTGCATGGAACCCATCCCCTAAGAACCACATGTGAGGAGGCATTCAGAGCTAACTAAGCAGCTGAGGCTAGCGGGGGGTTGTTTGATAGATGCTATATACTTTAGTGCGTGATGAAAAATGATTGTTTGGTAAACGTTTTGGATAGACAGTCTGAATGACAGGAAATTACAGTTTTACCCTTCAGTGTAACATAATGTTGAATGAAATATAAATGTATGATAAGTGTTACGAAGTAATAAATCACATTATAAGTATAAATTAAAAAATAAAAAAATATATAAATTAACATAATTTTTTGCAATGTTAAAGAGAAATGCACGAAATAAACCACAATGAAGATTGTAATTCCCTCTTCCCGATAACTTATAGTTTTTGTTCACAGAGCATATACATTCATCAAAATAAATTGTGAAGCTATTATTGCCCCTTTACCCACAAAAGAGCCATGATGCTGCTCAACCTCAGACAAACAAAACTCCAGTAACCACCCAAAATCTAGTCTACATACATCCAATGTACCAATGCTACAAAATCCCATGGTTACATTTGTCAATCAAGTGACTATGGGAATTAAGGGATAAAAGCAAGTGGTATACACTTTACTAATCAACTCATAGGACTCCATGGAAACGAAAATCATCTTACACTGAAAAGTCAAAAGGAGCAAAACAAAACCATGATCACATCATGCTGGAAAAGTATTTGGGAGAAAAACAGTTCTATGTCATAATATCTAACAACATTTTTACACATGGGTTGTGGTGTAGTGGTTGAGGTCCTTGGGATGTGGTGGAATATTCCATCAGCCCAAAGTTCGATTCCAGGCGTACCATGTACACAACAATTGTGGTCACTGAGATTCTGGGTTGATTCTTGCAGTCACAATTTGTTGGGATTAGTCCAGGCACAGCCTGGGACACCCTTCCAAAAAAAACATTTTTACACGTATCATAAATGCTATGAGATCACATACTTCCCAATTGAACTTAAAATCTCTCCATATATATTATTGTTCAATAGGAGGAAGCTTCGAAGATTTACGCAACCAATAATGTGATCTTTTCTTAGCCACAAAAAGACGGTGACCATATGCTTTATTTCTTAACCAGCTGGGAGCCATATAGATTAAATTGTATATCAATGGAACACAAATTGTTGCCATTAACTTAAAAATATGAATCGAATAAGAACAGACGGTAGAGGGTGTTTGCTTCTCCAAACAAAGCACATTAAAGAAAAGCATGATCATTAATACAGTAACATAGTAAAAGGTAGACCCAAAAATGCACATGTGAACTATACTTTGTAGTAGACGAATTTCTCTTAAGCATTTCATCAAACAGGTAGTGGACATGTTCTGGAAATTGCTAAAATCAAGCACAAATTTAAGCATTTTGTGATGTTAAACATCAATAATAAATATAAGCATTTCTATGATGCTGTTGACATCAAGCACACAAATTATAACTGAAACCCCAAACTGTACAGAAAATTACTTACATAATCACTGAAAGGAATCCCTAGTTTCTTGAAACGATCGAGATGGATATGAAGCAAATTGGTTTCAATCGATTAAACCTTAACTTCAGATAAACCCTAGTTTAGATAACAATCTCTGACCTAATTAACACCGAGAAGGATGAGAACAGCGATTTGACGGGAGTAGCAGACGGAGGTCGGCGAGGAGTGCCATTTTTTAACTTTTCCTTTTTGAAACATTTAAACTTTGTTTTTAAACCACCCAAAAACCGAGTATGTATATATATACACACACGAAATTTTCGATTACCCGTTGAATGGAGACGATGATTTTTACCATGGTTAACGTTTATAGGGTAAATTATTGCATACGATATCGTTTTGATGGATTAAAATCTTACCAGATAAGTAAATGATAATGTTAAATTTTACCGGTAAACGCTTACCAGGTAAGTGTTTGGTAAACAGCCCCTATGAGTGTATTTGGTACACATGACATGACAAGACAAAACATAACAGAGATATATGTTCAACATTTAAAAAACTTTTATGTGGAACATACATGAATATAATAGAACATACTCAAAATATTTTTTTATTCAGTTTTATATTTTAGTTAATTTATATAATATATTAAATATTAGTAAAAATAGCATAGAAAAGGTAACAAATAAAAATTAATTAACCTAGATATTCAACCCGCTATGCGAGCCGACTAATCCCATGGCGATCAATTGCTTTGCAGATAGTTTGGAGCCATCGTATTTGAACCTCTGTGACCACAAAATGATTTTTATTCCTCCTTGGATTTGAACCTGGGACCTTCAGGTACTTTTGACCTTTCGAGCCAAGCTCAAACCAATAAGGCATCACCCTTGTGGTTAACTCCTCAACTTGTTAAGGGGACAACAAGTACAAAGACCAAATTGTTAAATTAGTCCCAACACTTCCACAAGTGGTTGAAGCGCCACTTGCAGACCTTTATCTAATTTACAGACCATGTTCATAATCTTTTTTTTTTATACATTTTTACCCCTTCGTAAATTGAGAAGGTGCCACTTACGAAGGTATTGATATTTTTGAAAATTGGGAAGAGAAATGACTAAGGTGCCGTTTACCTAAATGTTTACCCTGTAAACGCTTACCATTAAGAGTCAACATTATAATTTATTTTATCGGGTAAGATTGTAGTACATTAAAACGCATCTTATGCAACAATTTACCTGGTAAGCGCTTACCTGGGTAAGAGTCGTCACCCTCACTTACTGGTTAAGACTCTCCATTCTTATCATCGCTCTTACCGAGTAAGATTCTTGCCCTTTGCCATGTTTATCCGGTAAAAAAAATTGCCCTGTAAGTACTTACCGAGTAAGCTTTTAGTAAACGGCCACTAAGAGATGGATTCAAATCCTGAAAATGATTATTTATATTAATTTCCAGTAGTTCCTAATTTTTCCAAAACCATGTCTTTTTAATTGTTTTGACGAAAACTTTATAATGATATATATATTTTTTATAAAAACATTTATTTTATTATAATTTAATAATTATATAAATTAATTAAAATATATAAAAAATAAAATAATTCAGATAAATGAATTATTTTATTTGTTTTGTCATGTCCAATTGCTATATGTTCGTACCAACCTTAAAAATATATATTTGTTGGTGTTTGTTTATACATTCGTTATGCTCAAACTCAAACGTCATTAATTAAATAGACGTCGACTTCCGACGACTATTCGCTTTCCATTTTGCGGACAATTCAGAGAGAATATATTCTAATCCCCATTGTTTCTCTCGATTTTCCACCATTTTTCCACAGTAAGCTACACTTGATTCCAGGTACATCTCTTCATATTCATCTCAAATCATATCATATCTTCGATATTGTTCGTATTTTCTTCATAAGTATATGTTTTCGCGCTTTCAATTTCCTACTGAATGGTCTAAATCTGTGTACGTATGTCGATAATTTGTGTACTTGAACAATCTGAAACAATCTGGACTTATGTTTAAGACCTGTGATTGCTGAATCAGGTTTTGAGTAGTCACAATTGCACGATTTCGTAGGGTTGATGCTATTCTAGCGATGGAAGTTTACTTTTTTGAAGTTGTGTATGAATAATGAGTTGATTGTTTGTTTCCTCGTTTAAATGAACTAGGTGGAGTTAGAGATTGTAATCGGTGTGAAACTTAGAAATGAGTGTGGTTGGGTTTGATATTGGGAACGAGAATTGTGTTATTGCGGCTGCAAAGCAGGGCGGGATTGACGTATTGTTGAACGATGAATCAAAGCGTGAGACTCCGGCTGTGGTGTCATTTGGTGAGAAGCAAAGGTTTTTGGGTTCTGCAGGGGCTGCATCTGCTACCATGAATCCAAAATCAACCATTTCCCAGGTTAAGAGGTTGATCGGAAGGAGGTATAAGGATGTGAGGGAGCAGGAAGATCTTAGGTTGTTACCTTTCGAGACTAGCGAGTCATCAAATGGTGGCGTTTTGATTCATTTACAGTACTTGAATGACAGATGGGATTTTACTCCGGTGCAGATTTTGGGGATGTTGTTTGCACATTTGAAGCAAATGGCTGAGAAAAATCTTGAATCCCCTGTTGTGGACTGTGTGATTGGAATTCCGTCGTATTTTACAGATTTTCAAAGGCGTGACTATCTTGATGCTGCATTTATCGCCGGTTTAAGACCTTTGAGATTGATGCATGATGGTACTGCCATTGCATTAGGTTACGGTATGTACAAGACTGAATTTGCCAAATCAGGACCCACTAATGTCGTGTTTGTCGACATTGGGCACTGTGACACTCAGGTGACTGTTGCGGCTTTTGAACAAGGGCAAATGAGAATACTGTCCCATTCTTTTGATCAGCACTTGGGAGGTAGAGATTTTGATGACGTTTTGTTTAAACATTTCGCAGCACAATTTAAAGAACAATACAATATCGATGTTTACTCCAATACTCGTGCTTCTATAAGGCTTAGGGCATCGTGTGAGAAGTTAAAGAAAGTTTTGAGTGCCAATGCAGAAGCACCACTTAGTATCGAGTGTCTAATGGACGAGAAAGACGTGAAAGGTTTCATAACAAGGCAAGAATTTGAGAATCTGTCGTTGGAGTTGTTAGAAAGAATTACTTTTCCTTGCTGTCAAGCTGTAAATGACTCTGGTCTAAGTGATGATAAGATATATTCTATTGAGCTTGTTGGTTCTGGATCTCGCATACCAGCTATTATGAGAAAATTAACTTCGCTCTTCCGGAAAGAACCAAGGAGGACTCTGAATGCTAGCGAATGTGTTGCTAGAGGATGTGCTCTTCAATGTGCAATGCTTAGCCCAACTCTCCGAGTTAGAGACTACGAGGTTTGTCTTTCCACCAGAAACCTAATGTTCTTCATGTACTTATTTCTATTTATATTGTTTTCTTAAGTATATAATATTTATATACAGCAGATGAACTCACACACCCTTCTCACCATTGGTGAGGTTTGGACCCTTGACCTTCTGAAAGGCGGGGCTCTACCGGTAATCTGAATACCGCTAAGCTAAAGGCCCTTTGGTTCTATCTACATTGTTGTTGCTTGCTCATATCTAGTTTCTCAAATTTAGCATATTTGTCTCTCTCTTCCTAGTTTTGTTGTTGTTGTTGACTCTTATATAGCTTTTCATTTGTTAAAGCCAGGGATCGTCATAGGAAAAGCCACTCTACTCTTTAGGGTAGAGGTCAGGTTTGCGTTCATCTTACCCTGGATCCCACCTTTGGGTGGGATACATTGGACTCGTTTGGTTTGATTTAGGTTCGTCTCTAGTGATCTATATCCTTTTGCATAATCTTGTTGTATGTGCATCCTCATTTCTATAGACGTATATGTAAAGAATGGACTATTCAAAGAACATAAAATTTATTTATGTGAACTTCCCATATTTTCCTATGAGTTATGCGATATCTTTACCCTTTATAAAGACAACTATGTAATGTGGACGGTTCTTCAAAAGCAGAACACAAAAGCCAGTTAAGAGTACCATAACCGAACGGTCTGTGATGTGAACTTATTCAGTTAACCGTACTGTAGCTATTAGTTTGTGTGATTGATCTTACTTCTTATATATGTCGGCGCAAGCACAATGAAATACAATATACCGGCATTCCAGAAAATGGTTGTAATATAGGAGTAGCAAAGTTTTTCTCTCTTGGGAATTAAACCGGACAAAAAGTTCAAGATAGAGGTTTTTCTACTAATGGAGTAAGATTATCATATTGTATCTTTCGTGCTCTCTTTATGAGAGGAGCCTTTCCTGGTAACATTTTCACATGAACTTGTTATTTAGTCATCTTTTTTGGCTTGCAATTATTTTGTATTCTTCTGAATGCTTTTTGGCAAATGCTGAAATCTGGCATAAATGAAGACCATATTACTGAATCATCTGGTGTATTGGTTAGGGACAAAAAACGAGTGTAGTCTATCTTTGGGCCTTTGAGAAAGAGTTCCATGTCCTCCGACTAGGATGAAAAGGGTAGTGAACTGCAAGATGTTCATTTTAATCTCGCTGAGAGTCTGTTTGAAACTTGATTGCCTTCTCTTGCTTTTTTTTTTGGACAAAACTTAATGAGACTAGCATTTTGCATGCTTCCTTAAACAGCTTCTCAGGGATTTACCCCTATTATGTTTGTAAGGATTTATGCTATATTTTCTTACTTTTTGCAGGTTCAGGATTCATTACCTTTCTCAATAGGGGTCCGTTCAGATGAAGGTAAAAACAACACACATCCAGATTGTCTTTTTCCAAAAGGAGGTCCATTTCCAAGTACTAAGATGCTTACATATCATAGAAGAAATACTTTTTATTTGCAAGTTTCCTATGAGACGGACTTTCCTGCAAGAATATCACCTATTGGCTATTTCATGGTAAGAATCTAACATTTGCTATAATTTGTCCGTTCATACCTTGAAGTAACTGTCAAATATTTATTCAGATTGGTCCGTTGCAAACCTCTGGTACTGAATTAGCGAAGGTCAAAGTTAAAGTGTGCATTAACATCCATGGAATTTTTCAAATAGTATCTGCATCAGTAAGTATTGCTTCTTTCCCAGATGTTGAACATGAATGAGTTAGTCCTGTTGCAGGAGTGACTTGATCTAAAAGCGTTATGATATCGTTCTATATTGTATTTGCAGCTTCAGCTTTTAGAAGATGCCCACTCTTCAAGTAATAATGGTCATTTGCACTCAGAGAAGATGGTGGCCAACAGTCATATGTCGAATGATGCTGCTGATCATAAGTCTGCTGATTCTAGCCCATCTACTACTTATCATGTAAGTGAAATCATGCCCATTTTTAAATTATCATTATGAAAGGATAAAGAGGACGCATTTTGGTTTATGCATCTTCTGGTTTCATTTATTATGCAAACACATGTCAAGATTTCGTTCTAGAAGTTACACGTATACATTTTCCCTAACGCAGTTCTACTTGTAATGTTGAAATTGTATTTGTTTCAAATCCTCATGTTTTGGTAAGAGTGATTGATTTCTTGAACCATTATATTTGTTTTTTAACTGCAAACTAACCATTTTTTTCTTGTGAAAATGAGTAAAAAACATCATATTAAAATAATGAGAAACTTTGGAGAAAATCGAGTAATGTAAATGTAGAAATATGGTCGAACTTGGCATTCTTTGTCCAAAATTGGTTGTTTTTGCGAAATGTGTTCTGTTTGCATTTCCACAAGAAGATGGCTTGTTTTCAATGAGAAGTCAAGTACAAATAGTTCGAAAATTCAATCACTTAGTAAAACCTTATGTAAGTTTACTTTTTGTTATGTGCTCAATGCGGGAATTCAAGTGTGTTTTTTAGATATTCGTTTGGCGATTGCCATAATAGAGACTGAAAATTTTGGAATGGAGAGACTTTCACCTTTGAACATTATCCTTGACGACTTTTCAGCATCGTGCAGGAGTATTGCTTGTGTGCAATGGCTGATCCAGAAATTTTGGTGATGGGGTTTGAAATTTAAGTAACATAAAAATATAAATATATAATATATGATAAAAGTTATATAAAAAAGTATAGAAATTACTACGAGAATCATTACTATCACAGGATCACTACCGGTTCCGGATGTTCGTACTTTTCTTTTCAGAAGATTTTCTATTTTTTCTAGTGTAATAATAAAACAATTCATAATTAGAGACACACACAAACATGTATATATTGGGGAGGGGGAGCTTTATGTATAAATGGACAAGCCCATGACACAACATTGTTTCACTATGCAGGCTGATGAAAGGAGAAAGGGGTGGGTCAGGAGGCAAAATGTTGCCGTTTCTGAGAAATTCTACGCCACGACAACAAGAGACGAGCTACGTCATGCACAAGAGACAGAGCAGAAGTTGGCATATCAAGATATGAAGGTGGAACAAACGAAGGAGAAAAGAAATACCCTCGAGTCTTATGTTTACGATGCTCGTAGCAAGGTACTTGTTTTGTCGGGATATTGACATCAATGTTCTTTGCATTTAAGTTTCATTTGTGTTAGTAGTCATTAAAGAAAAAAGAAACTTCCAATCTATCTGCATCACTAGTAACCTTCTTATAGAGAGTAAACATGTCTTACCTGATTACATTGTCTGCTTGCACACCATTGAATCGTGCACACACTATCTATTCGTAATTCTACCTGTTATATTTTCTGATTACCTGTTATATTACCTATCTTATTGTCTTCTTGCACACACCTTCGTTTCATGTACAAAAACCTGTTCGCAACCTCAAAGGGTAGAGCGGTTGTTTCCGTGAATACCCCCTGCTTGTGAAAAAAGTATGACCAAAAAGGTAAGACGAACAAAGACTAGTAAATAGTAAGCAACAAAAAAGGAAAAAAAGGAGTAAGAATCATAGAATATGTAAGAAAAAAACACAAATCCCTTTATCTATCTTAAGTCTCTTTTGATGAATTCAGTAGTATGTACGAAAAAGAAGGCTGGTACCGCACTTGAGCAAAAATTAAGGCTGGAAACCCAAAAAACGGATATATAAGACAGCAAAATTGTTGTTCTTAATTTGATGGCTCTTCGTGTTCTTTTGCAATGTGACGAAACAACCAATGCACTGAAATAACGTCAAGCAGTTTTAAAGCTGGTAAAACTACAAGTGAAAATCCATCAATGCTTGTTTAAACCTGTTTTCTCTGCTTGTCATCATCATTAACGAATAAGATAACCGCGTTGTGCAGCTCTTAAACTGATTAATTCTTTTGATTTCATGCACTGCTTACAAATTGACGGAATTTGTGTAATTTAGATTTTGAGTTCCTATCGGAGCTTTGCCACAAGTATGGAGAAGGATGGAATCTCTAAAAGTCTGCAAGAAACGGAGGAATGGCTATATGAAGATGGTGATGATGAATCTGAAGAAGTCTATACCAGAAAACTTGAAGATCTCAGAATGGTGTCTAGAATATGCTATACTTTTAAGCTATTAATTTTTTTTTCATAACTACATTTATTCATCTAATCTCGTTTATTTATGTAGTTATTAGATCCGATTGAAAACAGATACAAAGATGAAAAGGCTAGAGCACAAGCGATCAGAGCTCTGCAAGCTTGTGTTGCAGAATATCGTTCAGCTGCAGATTCACTACCCCCTAGCCAGAAAGAGGAGGTATGATCTAGTCCTTTGATCTCGACTATGTATGCATACCGGACTGGATGGGCAAGAGTGAGGGACTGTTTGGTTGGTTTTCCATCAAGTCCTGTATGAATTAAATTGTATGTGTGGATTGATTTGTCTGGATAGATTGAGAAAGTTTTTTTGCGAGTTTTTTTTTCATAAATGGAAATAGCGTGTTTTTTAATTGGGAGGGGCATGTTTGGAAAAAAGTTGACATTCTGCATAAAGCTTCCCCTTGGAAGCTTACTGAATAAGCCATTTCTTTATCATTAAGCCACTATCAAACAGTCATGCATAGCTGACCGAATAAGCTGCGAGTCTCTTTAAGCTCATCAAGCTGCTAACAATCAGGCTCTGGGTGAAAGAATTGTGGGAGGTTCAAGGGCTTTAAATTGACATGGGTAGTTTAGTAATTTACCAATTTTATCTCATCTCTAGATTTTGTTCCACGTTTTTTGGTGGGACAAAAAAAATGCATTTTTGTTCCCCCCCAAGTCCCTGTTGTGTCCAAGTTTGTTGTCGCACCAAACGTGGAACAACAGGTTTTTGTTCAGTCCTATCCCTTCTTGGCCTGCGTACCAAACGCACCCGCGTTCCATATAACCAAACTGTAAGTCATATGTGAAGATGAATTTAATACCCTTCATGATCTTTCTTCTTTTGAGTAGATTTTCCCTATGAAAGGGGCAGCTACTTATGTAATGATAAAAACGTTCTATTATGGGATACGATAATTACGCATTTAAGAGGAAAGGATGCAACTGATCTGGAAAACGGGACTGTTCGGGTATTAATTATGATATCGGTCCCTCGCTGTCAAGTAATTTTCGCTCTTTTTGGCAGGTTAACAGAGAATGCAATGAATCTGAGCAGTGGTTGAACAATTGCTTTCAACTGCAAGAGTCATTGCCCAAGAACGTCGATCCCATATGCTGGTCAAGTGACATTAATGAAGTAACGAGAGTTCTTGAGAGGTTAGTTTCGACCATTTGTTCTTTTGATTAAGATTTTTTAGATTGGTGTTATGAGATCTAGAATCTAAACCAAATCAAACGAAACCAGTATATCCCACTGAAAGAGATAGGGTCTAGGGAGTTGAGGATGTACGCAGATCTTGCATCTACCCCAAAGAGGTAGAGATGCTGTTTCCGTGAAGGAAGTATGCAGACCTTGCATCTATCTTAGATATGGGCCTAGCCGGTCCTAAAAAGACTTGTCTGGTCAACGGCTTGGTCAAAGCAGTCCAAAAAAATCCCGTACAGTTGCGAGCAGGATAAGGACCAATACTGGTCTGGTCTAGTCGCGCCCGATGACGTCTTGGCCTGGTTCAGGGCCAGTTCTATCAGGACCAAAAGGGTCCGGTCTTATTGCCCATTTCTAATCTATCCCTAAGTATGTATGCAGACATTGCCTCTACCCTGATGGTTATGAAATCTCGAAACCGAATCAATTTATGTGAATCGGAGTCTGGTTGATTTCAAGTCAAGTTTCAGTCTAGCTCGAGCTTGATAATTGGTTTGAATTGGAATTCGACTTAATCTCAGACACGCTAATCGAAGCCCGTTACGTGTTTTTAACCTTTAGTTTCCGTTATTTTGTAGAAAAAACGTAACTTTAATTATCTTCGTTATTCTATATATAACACGTTGTGTTTAGTTGATTGCTTGTATCATTAATACCGTAAATCGTTAGCTTTTTTCCGTTATCAACTTTTTTGTTCGTTTTCTTCAGGACATGCGAACACATAATGAGCTCCAAATCTTCATCCCCGAAGTACGATGACGCCACCATAAACCCGGACCAAACGGACGTCCCTGACGACATGCAAGTAGACTAATGTCATAAATCTCTTTCGGTTGGCGGGATCAAACACACGATCTGTAAAGTTCATGGATGGTGGCTTAGCCAATTAAGCTACGTTGACTTCCACTATTTTGTCGAGTGAACATCACGAATCATTCGTAGTCGGGATTTTCGGAGGTAAAGATCAAACGATATATGCTATCTTTTGGCTTTTATGATCTTTAGCGTCGTTTTTGGTAACTTAGCGGTACATCCGAAATGTCGAGTAGAATGGTTCGATTTGGAATATTATAGCAATTTTCGTTCTTTGTTCTTCGTACTCGTTATCTAATAACTTTCGGAAATTGTCCAAAATAGTCGGTCTGGACTCTGAATCATTTTATAGCCGTTTTTCTACTTAATTGACTGGAATAGTCAAGATTTCGCAAGCAATACTTTAAAAAATTGTGAAATCTGCTTTTATGAAATTGAATATTCATAAAGTATCATCACAAGTTGCTAAAATGGTATCTCTGAAATGCTGACATGATAGGTAGTACTTTAGCAAGTAGTGTAAGTGGCATTTTCATATCAGCATTTAACAAGTAGCATTTTAGCAACTTGCGAAATTGCAAATCTTACGAATATTATATTCATAAAAGTAGATTTTACAAGTTGCTAAAGTGTATAATATAGGCGAAATTTAGTTATTCTGGTCAATTGTTACATAAATTTGACGAAAGAAATAATTCATAAAACATAAGTTTATAGATCATGCTATAAAGTTTCCTATCTAAAAAAGTTACAATAGGTTTATAGGATGTTTTTAGACGTTTCAACAAGTGTTTTAGAATGGTTTTTAAATAAAATGTTGTATTAGTTATTTTATATAAACATTTTGGGAAGTGTCTCGTAAACTCATCTATTTGTAGGATACTTGTGTTCATATGACACTTTTTCAAGTCACGTCATATAAAATAACTAATATGACACTTTATTTTAAAAGTGTAGTAAAATTTGTTAAGACGTCCAAAATCATCCAATAAACTTATTGTAACTCTTTTAGATGAGACATTTTTCTTGTTTCGTCCTATAAAATATAAAGTATCATATTAGGACGCTTGAACATTTTAGGCATCTTATAAAGATCTAATGTCGTTTTTTTCCACTAAAGTACAATATAAAAGAACAGGTTATTTAGATTGATGGATTCGTCAACAAAATATCCATCAATATCATTTATATTCTCCGATATATCGATTTGTTGTTGGTGCAAAAAAGATTTCAATAATTTTCTTATATTAATTAGATTATTTGTCATCATTCTTTAATTGTGAATCTTTTTGGTAACTTATACGTTTAGATAAAATGAAATACAAATATAATATCAATAAATATTATATAAAATTTATACATTATTGATATAGTATATACATACATATATATATATATATACACACACACACACACATATATATATATATATATGTATAATGTATATAACTTTGTAAAAATTATATATTAGTGGTGGGTTCGGTGGGTTGAGCTATTTCAACCCTCCTAATTGACGGGTTAGCAGTTTGGCGAGTGGACGATTTGGCGGGTCGAGTTTAATTGGGCTGTTAGCGGGTTGGGTTGAGCGGGTTTTGCGGCTTGACAGTTTTTTGTACACCCCTATTTGTTCTACTCTTTTCGGTGGAAAGATACGTTTGTATACATCTCACCTAAGATTCTACTTTTAAATATAGATGCACAAAAAGCCTGAACCTAGCAAGCCTAGGACCATGTTTTTATCTTTGGGCAAATTGCATGAAAATATAACATAGTTTGAATTGATTCATATTTTAGGTAACATATTTTCAAAACCAACATTTTGGTACCTAAGATGTGAAGTTTCAAATATTTAAATACCTGGGTAACCGATTTAAAAAATAACCGCTTACCAATGCTGATGTGGCATCCAACTCAATATTATTAGCTGACGTGGCTAGTGATGTCATCTAATAATATTGAGTTGGATGACACATCATCATTACTAACCGGTTACCCAAATACTTAAATGCTTGAAACTTTACATCCTAGGTACCAAAATGAAGGTTTTAAAAATATGTTACCAAAAATAAAAACCAATATAAAGTACGTTATATTTTCATATAATTTACCCCTATCTTTTCGTTTGTTGAAATCGTGCTTAGAAGGTCTGAATTCTATAAATCTCTACTTTCAAGTGAGATATACTGAGTTTATCTGGTTCGTAATCTAAGTATTTAATGAATTTTTATATTTATTGGAAACATTATCACAAGATATTCAAAAATAAATGATTGCTTTTGAATCCAAATGATTCGTTGACTAACTGGTCTATTGACTTTGACTTTGACTTCCGTTCATTCCTTCCTTCTCAATACTCTCCTTTTTTCCTTCCCATTTATCCAATCGATTTGTAGCTTTTTCCACCTGTTTTTTTTACAATATTAGTATTTGATTGAGAAAAATTGCATGAAAAAATAACTTACTTTAACTTGATTTTTATTTTATGTATTTTCAGAACTTTTATTTTGGTACCTAAGATGTAAAGTTCTAAACATTTAAGTACCCGAGTAACTGGTTGAAGCATTAACCGGTTACCATGCTGATGTGTCGAGTGATGAGATGAAATTGAGTTGGATACCACATTACTCGCCACATTAGCATGGTAACCGGTTAATGCTTCAACCGGTTACCCGAGTACTTAAATGTTTGAAACTTCACATCTTAGGTACTAAAATAGAAGTTTTGAAAGTACGTTACCCCAAAATAGGAATCAAGTTAAAATACGTTACTTTTTCATGCAATTTGCCCTATTTAGTTCAAGAAATTATAAGAAATTAAAAATACGGAAAAATACTCCGTATTATTATTTACCTCTTTATTCCAGTCTGTTCGAAATGTCGACCATATCAGAATGATGGTTTGCATTCCCGTTCCTCCGATCATTCCCGACCATATTCCCTATTCGATAAGACAAATCTTATGAGAACTTTGTTTATGAAAGTTTGTTGCATCGTGATGAATTTTACCCTGCAAATATATCCATATTTTGATGTCGTTTTTTCGAAAATACAGAAAAGCTCACTAACTGTTTAGTAAACGATACCTTGACCCCGTAGTTGAAATAGAAACCGAGAATGCATCCGATGGGAATCCCTACTATGTAATAGCATCCGACGTTCACGTACGCCACATACGCTTGCCATCCGCACCCGACAGCCACACCTTTCGAATCCATTTTTCGTGTCAGCTTTTAAGTGTCCATATTTTTATTTTAGTTATCTTAAAATAGAAATGTAGAAGACCCGAGCCTTCCAAGCCCCTTTTTGTTGAGCAATAAAAAAGGCTCGAGTCAAGTGAGTCTTTTAAGGCCCGACCCGAGCCATGCTCCGGGCCTGAAAAGGGTATTGGGCTTTTTCATCCGGACCCTTTTGGGCTTAATCCAGCTTTATCAGTCATAACGGAGCTTTTTAGGCTAGACTTTCCCGGGCCGGCAGGTCCATGCCTAAAACCAATATTTCGGCCTGATTGAGCTTTGAGGTTTGGCTTGGACTAGGTTTCGGGCTTACTAGGCCCGAACTTTTTCAGCCGGGCTTCAAACTTGGGCTTTTTGTGCATCTCTATCCTACAATAGTGTCTACCGTCTAATTTCAAAAATAAGTTCTACTTTCCAATTTTACCCTTAATTATGAGACAGAGGAATTCATTATTTTATCTATTATTAAGGATAAAAATGTCATTCAGTTAATTAAAAAAATGTAATAATTACACATTTCTAAAACTGTGTATCTTTTTCTTTGTGGACATTTATTTTGAGACAGAGGGAGTACAATAATACCTGATAAGACGGGCTGAATGCCGTTGAGGATGATAGTGATGGCCAATAATGGACAAAGATCAGAAACTGCGTTAGCAACAGTTTCACCGCCCGTGAACACGTAACTAATAACATGCCGTAACGACAAAACTATCACCGCTTCAATTACGGCGATGATAAAAGAGACGGTGGTCACCGTCAAGACCGAAAAAGCCGCGGCTTTTGGGTTTCCTGCTCCGAGCTCGTTGCCGACCCTAACACTATTTTTCATAATTCCGCATTTCAGTAACTCGTTTACATCAAACGTTACATTTTCGGGTTGTATTTGTAATTTTTTTTACAAATATTAACCCGAAAAAATATATTTAAAAAATATTATAAATAAAAAAAATGATACCTAGCAGCTGCATTGAACCCAACTGAGACCATGAACAATAGTCCATTAATAGCCATGCTGCAAAAAATTAATAAGAATATAAAAATTATTTAAATAAAATATTTATTTATTTAAATAAATTAAATTAATATTAATTTTTGATAAATTTAATTTTTTAGATTTTCAATTTAATCCAAATAAAATTACTAGTAAATTAATATATAAAAAGGCAAATTACATGAAAAAGTAACGTACTTTAACTTAAAATCTATTTTGTGGAGTGTACTTTTAAAACTTCAATTGTGGTATCTAAGATGCAAAATTTTTAAACATTTAAGTACCCGGGTAAACAGTTGAAGCATTAACCGGTTACATGCTGATGTGGCGATTGATGTGATATCCAACTCAATATTGTTTGCTGAAGCATTAACCGGATCCCACATCACTCGCTACATCAGCATGGTAACCAACCAGTTACCCGGGTACTTAAATGTTTAAAAATTTACATCTTAGGTAACAAAATAGAAGTTCTGAAAGTACTTTACCCAAAATAGAAATCAAGTCAAAGTACGTTACTTTTTCATGCAATTTGCTCTATATAAAATAAGAGGTTATTTGGTTGGTTTTTTATTAAGTTTGTGAATTAATCTGTCTGTAAAGATTGAAAATTTTGTTGGGATAATTTTTACATAGATGGATGAAACGTGTTTTTTAATTGGGAATGACGGGTTTAGAAAAAACTTGGTTTTCTACATAAAATCTGCTTTAGAAGTTTACTGAATAAGCCACTACAGTCATGTATAATAAGCTGCGAGTGTCGCTAAACTCGTTAAGCTTCAAATTAGCTCTAATAATTTATGCACGTACGACCCACTCGACGGAATGAAAATGACCGCTCGATCCATTTGATACGTGACCAAAACCACACGATTTTGCCCTTTCGAAAACGGTCTAACAAGTGTTGATTAACGATAAAAACGTGTGATAACAAACGAAACTTACCAAACTGAAAGCGCGTCCAACGCTAGCTCGGGGTTCTCGAGCAACCCTGCAATCAACACGAGTACTTGCATGTACCATGACTCCAAACACAACATCACGGCCGATCCACTCGACAATTTTACGAAATCCCAAAGCCCGCCGAACGCCTTTAAATTAAAACCAGTCCAAGACGCCTTACATCTATCGCTTTTCAAGATGTAAATAAATTGACCCGCTACAATGATCCACCACGAAAAACTCAAAGTCAATGAAGCACCGATCAAACCGAACCCTAATTTGTACACCATGATCCAAGAAAGGAACAGGTGTACGACTAGGGTTCCGGCCGAAATGTACGCACTCGGCGCGACGATACTTTGAGACTGAAGGAATTTTTGTATCGGGAAATTGATAGCGTACGCGAATATCTGAGGAATGAGACCGTAGACGAATAGCGCGGCGGCCGACGCCATTGATGGCGATTGGCCGAGTAAAAGTAAGATCGACTTCGAAAAAATGTAAACCAAAGTTAACGGGAATGCCGTTATTGTGAGAACGATTGCAGATCTTTGAAGGTATACGCCAAGCATATCGTATTTTTGTGCCCCGAACGCTTGCCCGCATAACGTCTCCACTGCACTACCCATACCGAGCTACAATATACATATACGAGTTATGTGTCAAATCATACATTGAGAACGATTTCTTGATCTAAAAATAAGCTTTACGTAAATGCATATAAGACGGTTTTATAGACCGGTTAAAACGAGTGATAATCTAATCGAAAAAAATAGTTAAAAAAGTAAGGGGACGTTTACCAAACGCTTATCCGGGTAAACAACATCAAGTCACGTTACCTTATCGGATGAATATGGTAAGGATTAAGGGGTCGTTTATCAAACACTTATCCTGTAAGTGCTTACCGGTAAAATTTAACACTATTATGTACTTACCGTGTAAGATTTTAGTCCACCAAAACAACATCGTATGCAACAATTTACCAGGTAAGTGTTTACCATGGTAAGAGTCGTCGTCCGCACTTACTGGGTAAGACTCTTGGTTATTGTCTCGCTCTTACTGGGTAAGATCCCTGGTCCTTACTATATTCATCCGGTGAGGTAATGTTACTTGATAAGCGCTTACCCGGGTAAGCATTTGGTAAACGGCCCCTAAGAATCCTACACAGTAAGAGCGAGACAAGGAACAAGAGTCTTACTCGGTAAGTGAGGACGACGACTCTTACCATAGTAAGCGCTTACTAGGTAAATTGTTGCATACGATGTTCGTTTTAACGAACTAAAGTCTTACCCTATAAATAAGTGTCAGTGTTAAATTTTACCACCACATAAAGTGTTTGGTAAAAGAAACCGTAAATTTAATATTTACTATTTTGGTTAATTCTCCTTTTTACTCTGTCTCTCTCTCTCCTCTCTCTCTCTCTCTCAGATGTAAAATCTCTCTCTAAATCTCTCTCCTTCACTCTCTCCCGTCTTGCTTGTCTCTTGTCTCTCTCTTTCTCTCTCGACTCTCTCCCATCTCTCTCTCTCTTGTCTCTCTCTCTCCCACACACACAGTGAAAAATGGTGGCCGGAATTAATTCACAAAACTCACCATGAGACCATAAGCGAAGAGTTGAATCCCTTGGTTGCCGAGGGAGGCGGCGGCGAGCTCCAGGTTACCGAGTTGGCCGGAAAATATTCTGGTCGACATCGACATCGAGTTGTTGATCAAATAAACCAACACCGTCGGAGCTGCCAGTTTATACAGAAGACCAAGTTCAATCCTCGTCGCCGATGCAAACCGCCGGACGAACGGTGTCTGGGTGCTGGAAAGTACGTTCTCCAGCTCCCAACTGCCGCCATGGCCGGCGGAGGACGGCGGAGTTGCAGAATCTAAGAGTGGTTGTTGGAGCTCATCGTTTTGGTGCTCCATGGTTTCTGAAAAATGGACTCTTGGCCCTTCACGTGTTTATTTATCTACTGGTGGATGGAAATTAATTAATTAATTAATTAATTAATTAATGAATCAATAAAGGAATTAAAATTAATTAGTAAATAGAATTTCGGATATTTTGTGGTGTAGTCATTTTCCAATTTTATCATGAATCAGATCCGAAAAAAAGTAGGTAGCTTTTTAGGTATATGTTTTTTTTAACAGAAGTTCACAATGATTTGTGTAAATTTTTAGTGTTATTTTATAGTCTCATGAGTTTCATAAAAATATGTTGGTCTTACGTGAATCTAATCATCAAAACTTCTGTCGTTCCATCCCTGTAGGGGCAAAGAACCCGTCTAAAACTACCTATAGACGGTAGGGGTCGGGTTATTGATGTGAGATGGGTCATAACGAATTGATGTGGTATATTCATATCATACTCTATATATATATATATATAGAGAGAGAGAGAGAGAGAGATGGGTATGTTTCATTTATAAACCATCAAATTCTAAATATGTAAGCAAATCTTAGTCGTTCATCTAGTCTAATAAATATTTGATTTTATTTTGTTTCATAATCTAAAGTCATGATCATAATGAATGAATTTTATCATCTTTCATATATATATATATATATATATATATCAATCATAATTAATGAATCATGATAATTATCCATAAATATCTTCCTTAAATAAGCATCGATTATGGTTTGTATAGCTTGTTAGAATTATATGGTTTGTAATTGAAGCATCCCCTATATATGTAGATAGACTGGTTTAGGTTTAAATAAAAAAGCTAAATATATACTGAGAAGATACTGTAAAAAAATTGGTTTTATTTCAAATAGTGTTGTATAAAATAGCTAATACGGTATTTTATTTTAAAAACGTCCTGAAAAACTTATTAAAACGCCTAAAAACGTCTTATAAATTTATCGTAATACTTTTTGATAAAATGTTTTCTACATTGGTCCTATAAAGCATTCATTATGACGATTAGACTTGAAGGTTAATGCATGAATAATTGAAAAAAAATTATATAATCTTTAACATCGATCTACGGGGGTGTTTGTGATTGCTTATTTAATATATACATACATATATATATATATATATATATATATATATTTTGTAAAAGTGCTTATTAATTTATGTGGTGTCAAATCGGAGTTTTATGAAAAGTGTTTGGATTAGCTTATGGTGGTACCAAATCGCAATAAGCTGATAAGTTGTTTTTTAATGTTTGGCAAATTTTGCTTATATATGTAAAATGATCAAAATGGCATTTTCCATATTATTGACTTATAGGTCGATCGATTATAAAATTCACAGCATAGGTCAATCGATTCTGAAGAGAAATTATAGAAATAGAAATACACATAAATCGATTTATGTTAACAATCACAACAAGATTGATCGATTGTATAAGGAGAAATCACAGAAATACGTGAGGATAAGAAGGTCGATAATCGATTTTGAAATCTGGTTCGATTTTCCGGTCCAATTTCTCTAATTGCACAGGTTCGACCGTCGGTCGCTTGAGGAAGGAGAAGCCTAGGGTTCGATTTCTCTGGTTAGTATCAAAAACTGAAAAGAGTTAAAGGTAAAAGGTATTGGAAAACGGTTAAAAAGGTAAATTGTTAATAAGTTGAATTTTATAAGTTAGAGGGAATTGACATATCAAAAAAATGCTTATTACCGGTTTGACACCGGTATAAGCAATTTTTTTTTCTTCCCCATCCAAACACTTAAAACGACTTATTACCAGTACCACATCAGAATAAGTCAATAAGAAGCTTTCATAAGAAATCTCAAACACCCCTATATATGTATCTTTAAATAGATTTTTTTTTTTCCAGATTTTTTATCTGTAATGATTTACATATGAACCTCTCATTTCTTACCTTCTCATGATTTTCAGTCATTTTATTTAATTGTATTATTATATATTTCAATATTAATTGTATTATTATAACATCCAGATAGATTTAGTACTGCAATAAACTTTATTAAAATGATAACACATTCAATTTCATTTATGCCAGTAATAGAAAATATATCTCGGGTATTAATATTTAATTTCAAAAACTGTATAATTTAGAGATTTTTTTATCATCCATCTCTTATTTACTGTATCTTGAAGAAAGTTTTAAACGATCTGTTAGATACAAAAATGGGTTAAAAACTTCAAAAAAAATTTATTTTAAATAATCTCTTAAACTAATTTATACAAAATAATTCGAATAACATATAAAAAAGTTATCAAAGAGTCTTTGACCTAACGATATTGTAGTATTTGACTTCTTAGAAAGTCAAGAGTTCAAACCTCATCAAAGATGAAAAAAACGTGTGAGTCTATTTGTTGCATTTGCTGTATTTATATATTATATATTTAAAAAAAACATATAAAAGAGTTAATTTTATTTATTTATGTGGGTCATAATGAATTTTTGTTGTTTTGTAATGATTTACATGCACAAGAAAGGCATGGTTATTGTTTAGACTTTAGAGTGAATCTATTCATATATCCCACCTACTTCTTTCATTAGAGTGAATTACAATTATGGTCCTTCAGATTCAGTGAAATATCTGAAAGTGGTACCTAACTTTTAGTAAGTTCAAAGATTGTCCTTATACTTTCTGTTTTGCTTTGAAGATGGTCCATGACACTGATCCCGTTAAGTCAATTTTTTTTTTTTTTTTTTTGTCTTTTTACCTATTTCTCTAAGCTCGTTTTAGTATATATACACGAGGACAAAAGCAATCACCATGTTCCGGTTCTGAGCAAGACCCATGTTCGACTACCCACCCTATTGCTCATTTTATCAATCCAATCAACATCTTCGACCATCCCTCTTCGTATCTACCACCCGCACTTCCATATTTTGTTCAATACTGGAGCTTTCAATCGAGGAAACCTTTTTGTTGTTTGTGTGTGTGTGTGTGCGGATGAAAACGAGTTAGGATGGAGATCAATTGTTGTGTGTGTCGAGGAATAATGTTGTATGTATTTAAGGAAGACAAGTTGGTTTAAATCAAGATATTATATGTAATAGTCAACACTTTATGCGATATTAAAGATAAACTAGTCAGGTAAAAAGGCGGAGATTGGTTGTGGAGATGGCCGAAGACAGTGGGTTGTCACAGTGAGTAAAACAGTGGGCAGAGATCACCAATAAGGTTCAAGTCAATCGATGAGGATATTAGTGGCTGGTCTGGTGGTCATAGCAACCGATGATAGGTAACGAGTTTGACGTCGACAACGAGAGAGTAGACAGTGAGAAGTCTGGTCAGTGATGGATTTTATGCCTATGTTGTATATACACATGTAACAAGTTTACGAGGGTGAAATGTATATATTCATACATTTTGAAAATATGATTGTACGTGTGCAATATATATGAAGAAAATTAAGGAAATAGACAAAAAGACAAAAGTGTCCCTGACTTAATAGAGTAACTTTAACAAAATTAATATCAAGGACTATTTTCGAAATAAAATGTAAACCGTAAGGGTAATTTCTAAACTTATTAAAGGGTAGGTAGCATTGCACTAAAGCTCACAATAATATATATATATATATATATATATATATATATAATATTATTTTATTTTATATTCTTCTATATTGATTTTAATGACATGATCACTTGGATCCAGCCGGCTGAATCACGTGATAATTGACTCTCTCAAAATTTAAAGTACAATTTAATTTTGATATTTTGTTTTAATTATATATTAATTCTTATCATTTTAGCATATTATTTTAACGATGATCGTTTTTGAGAACTCATAAAATTGTGATAATTTTGAAAAACTTGTGCATCATATGATATTTCGTATGATTTTTTTGATTGAAGAATATGATTTAGAATACTGACTAACATATATTTGTTTTACATTGTGAACCGAATACATATGAAAAAGACACATTATGAAACAAATATATATTAATCAATGTCATTAAATATTATACTTAGACGAGAAAAAAAATCATGTAAAACAAAATCTTAATGTAGAAATTGTTAAGGATCTCACAAATTTGGGAGTTCCATAATTATTAAGCCTGTTATCTTAATTTAGTTGATAATATACCTATCTAGTATTTTTTGAATGATTTTATCAATGACGTCAAATTGCACGAGGTTCGACTGTGTACGATGAGTACACGTATTCTTTTTCTGAATACAGTTTTCGAATTTCTAAAAATACAAAATACCAAAAATGAAAAGGAAGTTGTTGATTGTGATGTATGAATGCCATGTTTGGTTGTCTTTATACATTGCTTCTATGTTTATCATAGTCTTCAAAATCAATAAAAATTGTCTTCTACCTTTGAAAAACAAAATATAAATAAATAAATTGAATATAAATATTAAATAATACGAATTCAAAAAAAAAGGAAAAATAAAGAAAAACGATTATACGGTAATCTTTTCTCGTACAAACAGATGTTATGCCATGATGATCGTATTTTTATGAGACGTTGCTCGTTTTAGGGGGTGTTTGGTTAGAGGTATTAGGCAGTAATCAATGAGAGTGAAAATAAAATAAACTGTTTGGTTTTATATAATTTAATGAGCTTATTTCCTCAGAAGCCCAAATTTCGATTCCAGGTTAAACTTGGGGGAATGGAAATTCTCATTTTCATCCCCATTTTCATTCGTCTGACTGAACCACACACCAGGGACGGACCTATAGTGGTGCCACCATATTATTCCTCCGCCGGAGGGTAAAAAATTTTAGGTTTGTGAAATGTGCAACCGTATTATATCTGTTGTGTGTCACCGTATGTATTTGAAACTACAATGAGAACAAGTTTTATTTTATTGAGTTGGTTTGCAAGACTTTTATTCCACCCCAGACCCAAGTTCAAATCGTGTTAGTCTCCTTTTCTTAGTCAAATGGTGCCACCATTTCAAAAAAAATCTGTATATTTGTTTCTTATAGTCAAACAGTGTAACTTTTTGAATTTTTTTCCCTATAGTTTTTT